AGAAAGGAACATTTACACCACCTCCTCGGAGGGTGACGTAAGAACAATTGCCGAGCGAGCATCAGCCTTTTCTGTCCTTTCAAAATTCAGCCTCAAACGGCTGGTTAAGGCTACTGTCTCCCATGTGCGCGACGTAGAATGCCACGCCCATATTACGATTGTCCTGACTCATACCGGCTGAGACAGCGGGAAAATGACCTTCGAAATTGAACGGTCGCCTAACTCTCGAGAAAGAAAAACTGTCATTCTAGGTAGCACATATTGATCGAATAAGAAGAGAAACAACCACTAAAACTTACCTCGAACATATACCGCAGAAGACCACCACTCGCACTAATTCGACAACTTTTCTGTGCTGTTTTTCCATCAAGAAATCGCTGTAATTTTGACAATAAGACTACTGCCTACTGAAAAGTAAGTTTTTTTCGATTCGGAAAGAAGCATCACCTTAATGTAATCTTTAATGATAGTCACACAAGACTGGCGTAAACTATCGCTGTTCAGGCAGAGTGAGGGAATGTCAGAGTTCAGAAGAAGTGAGAGATCCTCCGATAGCATGTCGCCGGTGAACCAGAGATCTTTGACGTTTTCGAACTTTGCTTGCTGGAGAAATGGCTCTCTGAAAAAAAGAACTATAGAATATCATTTCCAGGGAAAGACACCTTTTCTTATAATTCCTGCTGAACGTTCATCGAGGTACAGTCATGTCTCTGCGGAAGCTACGGCTTTCAGAGGACTGGGTTTGGCGTGGAACCAGCCTATTCTCCACCAACAGTGGTCGCTTAGCATCTTCCATACTTGGTGCAAAACAGGGTGGAGCCTGCCAAACCCAGCCCCCTGGGACGCTCCAGCTTCCGCAGCTAACATTCTGAAGCCCTTCAAAGGCGAAGCACTCATCGAACGGCGGTGCGTCCCTCCTTTCTTGGAGGTGAAGTAGAGAGCGTCCCAATGAGGAAGGAACAAGTGTCGACCATCTCCACCTACAGGACCAACATGGACTACGCCTTTGAATCGTATCTCAAAAAAGTCTCGTCATACTTACTTAGCAATTCGAAATGAGAGCTCATGAAGATATACAGTCGATCCAGGATTGAAGGAAATAGCTTGAAGTACTTTTCGGGCTTCTTCTCGTGTTTCGAACTTCAAACTTAGTTGCCCTGCACTGACCGTTGAAAGCACTGAGATTACCCGCTCGGGAAGTTCTGACGATCCAAACTGCAAGAGATCTTCATGAATCCTACTCAATAAACGTATTCTCAAAGAAAGGTGAAAGAGGGATGAAAGAAGATGGAAAACATCAGCTAGTGGGATATGACCGAGGTAACAGTTAGAGCGCGTCCAGATCTTGAACCGCATCGGGACCGTGGAGAAGCGAGTCGGTGCAAATGATAAGGTGGGTGTTGGGCACCCTATAAGGCAGTACTCGTCTCCTGTAATCCTGTCATATCCCCACTCTGTATCTCTTTCCTGTGAAGCAGCGAGGTTACACTCCATATCCCGGCATCAGAAGAGGCGTGACTATGGAGTTTGTTGTGAGTGCGGCAGCAGTGTACAGCTGAGCTTCAGAGAGAGAGACGCAGACAGTGTGTGCGCTATCGAAGGTCACAAGAAAACGTCAATGGGTTTTTTGCTCTTCACTGCCTGGAGCGACAACTGTCTAGCGCAGCCGCCAGGTACTGTAGGCCCTCCCCGTTCAACACAGAAAGATATGAATTGCAACATTTCGCTATGGCACGGATTTGCCGCTTCACTTTAAGTTCCATGCAGGGTCTGAACGCGATCTAAATGATTCGATGACTTATTGTTAGAGATAACTCTAGGCATCCTTATAATAGCCATTTCAAAGGACTACAACCGATCATTCCAGGAAATATTCATGTTCCATAATATTTGTAAAAACCCACCTGGGTAATATCGACGGCACCAATAGTCATCATGTGAAATGGTACATTTTCCCAGGAAAATCTCGGTAGCTGTTCCCAGTTTCCCTCCACCAGATCTCTTTTCGAGATTTCCTGAAACATTTTCAAGGGTTTCCAGTGGTCCAAAGGTTTTCATGTGAACGACCATACCTCTTCATCTCTCGGTTTGTCCACTGAGTGGTATTCTATAGTAGTGTGCTGTGGTAAGATTCTCTGCAAAAACGCACCGTCATCATTAAAAAATGGCTTGGTGTTCACATGAAAGTGACTATTCACAGAAACACATCGCCACAAACCAAATCGGACACTCTTCAGACCAAATCGGACACTTTTCAAAAATGAAAAGAAAGGCAAGTTGGAGTCTCAATGTTCAGTTTATGGTCTCGCTTGTCACCCGGAACAAAGTTTCTCTTGTTTTCCGGGGGACGGCGGAGACCGTAATCTGACAGATCGGACTCTAATCTGCGGATCCGGATCACTTTTTGAAAAGTGTGCGGAGCTTCTGCGAAGTGGGCGGAGCCACCTGTTATCCCCTAAAAAGGCGAGAATGTTGAAGAAAAAGTTATAAATCCGCAGAAGGAAAGTGGGCGTGGTCAGAAAGTGGGCGGGATTAGTGTGGCAGTGTACAGATGCGTATCTCTGAGTACATTCGTTTTGAGAAAAATGAATGTGAAAAGAATGACGTCGGAAAAATGTACAAGAATTCAAGGCCTGCTACAACTTCATTAAAAAAGGAGCGGAAGGATTGCCGGTGCCAATCCTTTTCAGCTGGAGTGCGTGTGCGAGAAAGCAAAAGGTGCAAAAAAAAGTCAGAGGAATAGAGTTAATGAAATGAATTTCGCTGTGGGCGGGGTGTTGGGGCGGGGCTTGCATTATTACCTAATGTGGTTGTGAACTGGCCAGTATTAGGGGTGTGTCCGATTGATGAAAGATTGAAGAGATTTGATTTGAAAAGTGTCCGATTAGCAGTGAAAATGGTATAAAACCCGAGTTGGCGGTGCAGCATAACTACTATAAAACTGCTATCTATTTCTGATAGTTCATTTTAGTAGGTGGTTGGTGACGATTTCCTGCTCCCCTCTGATGCTAGCTTTTAGCGAAAACTGGAAAAAGTTTTGGAGAATTGGGCGAATTGGTAGGAAAGTGGGAGAACTTGGGGAGACGGTAGGTAGAATGGGAAGAGTGGAGTAGCTGTACTAGAAGTTTAGAGGGAGTCGCACCTATACCCCCATCAGAGCACGTCGTACGTGGAGTTCCCCAGTGAGGAGAAAGGCCGTATTTACCGTTGAGGAAAATGTTTTCGGCTGTTGATTCTTTCTGGAATTTCTCTACTTCAAGCGCGCTGAAAACCCCCTCCCACTTCCCCCACTCCATGCTTGCTTTCTGGAAGAAACTAGAGCATTTTTCCGAAGAAGTGGTGTAAAGATAGAAAGGAAGGTGGCAGAGCCAGAGGAAAGATTCTAAAGGGAGGGGGTTGTATATTGAAAAATTGTATAGCAATAGAACGTACCCTGACCGCCTACTTCTCCCATCCCGTAGCTGTACCGTCCCTGCTTCCGATGGGGAAGCTGTTGATCAGCGCAATGAGCTAACGAAGCCTACAGTATTCGCTTCAGGCTGAAGTATTGCCTGATCTCCGCTGTGGTGCAAGCAGTGTGTAGGTTCTCCAAGGCTGTCTTGTTTTGATGCCACAAGGCACTTCCTCAACCGCCGAAACCTCTAAAACCCTGAGTACTTCGGTTCCACAGATTCAGAAGATATCATGGAAGGAGTGTTTGAAATGAACGTGTGGAGGTTTTTCCCCGTCACCCAAGTCTTCGCGGTGCACTCCATAGATATAGCGTTCTTTTCAACCCCCATCTTGCGGGTCCACTAAATTTTCTAGGAAGTTGGAGATGGTCAGGAGGTAAGCAAAGTTTAGCCCTAGGTTAAATGGGTTGTAAGTGAGCTGTAAGGAGGGGGGGGGGGCAAGATTTGAGGGAGCCATGAACCCTGAACGGCTGTGAGCAGTAGGCAAGGATTTCACTTCTGTCCAAGATCGAGTGCCCTGCACATAGTGACCTTTTGACCCCCACCCCCGAAGTACCCTTCCAGAGCGCTACTTTCAGTTCAACTGGGCAGTGGGCGCATGACCTGCTGGTAGGAGTTACGGGCAGAAAACAATAATCTTGATATCAGTTGCATCAGGGACACGTCATGTGTGAATCAACAGGACCACGTCATGCTGTTTTGGTGCAGAAAAACGACATGACGTGACCTAGTGCTGCTGGACAGCGGTCCCTCCCGAGGCACATAGCGGCGAAAATATGAAAAGAAATACTGGAAATATGTAAATAATAAATGCCATTCATAAAGGAAAGCCCAGAATATTGGCGCTAGTGTAAGTGGGGAGGGGCTGGAACACTGGACGCCTCTGGGTTTCTCCTAACCAAAATTCAGACTCATGGGAGACTATATCTTCCTCGCGAGACTATCCAACTCCGAATCCGGCTTACTGTATTCTGAGCCCAAGCTTTAGTTAGGGAGAAAGGCACAGAGGCGCGTTCTAGTGGTTACACCCCTTTCTCCCCAACTACGCTGGCACCACATTCTTTGCGAAATTCGGAACCTCTATAGCTCTTGCCACTTACCAATTTCAAAGCCCAGATTTTGGTCTTCACAGATCGTAAGATCAGGCTTGACCAGTGTGGATAGACGGCTGCCAAACTTGTTAGAGAGGCCAGATCCAGGAATGAGCATAGAATAATGATAATATCTGGATTCAGGACCTCTAGCATATCTATAATGTAAGGTATATTTACCATGATTTTTCAGTGGGTTTTAACGATTTTTTTCAAAGAACGACAACCGACTAAAATAGACACATAACGAATTAGCAAGAAGGGGTAAAATAAAATTTGGAATTGATTAGGGCGTCCATAAAAGCATTTACGGATGGATTACAAATTACATAGTTTCTCTCTATATTATAAACAGCCAAACTTGATATGGTCCCAGTTGGGCGGAGTGGTGTCAGGAGGTGTGGAATGAGCTCACTCGCGGCTGCGTTTTCTACCAATAGTCGTCGGTCCAGGAAGAACTTAACCAGAAGTAGAACACGCCGCGAGTGGGCTCATTCCACGCCTTATGACGTTATCAACTATACAACAATTAGACACCGGTGATGATACCGTATCAGGTATCACATCGAATTTTTCTCGAATAAATAGAAATTTTTCGCGAAAATTCAAAAACTGAATTATTGTTATTCTTTTTGTAGAATTTCATTCGCAATCTGCTAATACTAACATTTACACATGTTTCAGGAATGCTTTTTGAGACTGACGGATACCTCGGAATTTTTAAAGAATAAGAGCTAAATTAATTTAACAATAATCAGTTTAATAATTAAATGATCAAGCAAGGCACTATTTCTCTTCACCGCTCCCTTCTTCGAGGTTCGACCACATTCTAGAAGTTTTTTCTCTGTCGCCAGATTTGGCTGGAATTTCGTTCCCAGGAATAGTTCGTCCCTATGAATACGAATATCATGGCCGTGTCGCTACAAATCGCCCTGGCACCCAGCCACAGGTGTCGGCGCGACAAAACCCTACAGAACCAGGGCATCTCCTGCGCTTGGGAAAGTTTGTCGCAAAGGAATATGGACCCCTGCAGGTTCCGGCCTCTACTCCAGCCCCTTCCGGACCCCATCCACCTACTACCGAGGTGGGCGGGGGGGGGTGCAACGACAAGCAGGATACTTGAATCCCCACTTTTTCCGCTCCCCTTCTGTGTGAATGCCTGGTACGTGCGCTACGGGCTACGGCGCCAAAACTACCTGTGACCGTTGGCGCCAGTGGCACCGACGCCAATCACTTTCGCGTTGAGCGTATCTGATAGTGGTGTTCGAGAGATCCAAGCTCGGTGTTTTGGCCAAACCAAATTCAAGAAGAAAATTTCCGATGAAATATGGCTTGAATCTCGAAAGTAGTGGCTCAGACTTTAGCAGTAGCAGACAGTCCATAACTTGGGGAGAGGAGCACTCAGAGGACACTGTGTGAAACTGGATTCACAACTTGACACTGCCGCCTCCTCCGCTACCAGACGCTTGTGCGACTTTTTGGCTACGATAAATGAGAAGGGAGGAGCATCGAGGAGTTCCGACACGGAAAAATCGATTTAATGTACGATTGTTGAACTCAAATGATTCGGAGATGACTTGAGATCTTCAGTTTTGCACTGACTCCTCCAAATACCCCGAAGTTATAGGCGCCTAATTATTTTGGTAATAAAATTATAATAGCATGGTATTTAGAATAAATTGAATATAAAAGAGTAGTAAGTCGTTCTCTGGAATTGGATCTTCTACACCTCTATATAGCGGGTCCATGAGAAAAAAAGCAGCCAGCGATAAAATGAATAAGTAAATAATGAAATTGGCATCGAAGCAATAGCGAGCAGAAAAAGAATAGTGACCAATCGAAGATCTTCATAAAAAAAAAAAAAAAAAAAAACCACAAAAAAAAAAATAACACACTATTTATTGGCTCACAATCAAGTGAGTCTGTTTGGAGGTAGCAGGTCAGGATAAAGGATTCCCTGGCACATCGTATTACCTCTGAGGAAACGCCTCGGGCACCCAATCACTGAGTATGCCGCTATCTGGACAATTAAGGGGATCGTAAGGTGTAATTGTACCTCTGCCAGGCACATATCTCTATATGCCTTAGGAAAGACACTTGAGTGTTATGGCACTCGAGAAAAGCGTCTTCTCGCAGAATTACCCATTGTGAGTGGGCTGCCCAGTTTGGAGCCGCCAAACAAAGAATTTTTAATTATTTCCACTTCATATTGGTGGGTCCTATAACTGGACCCCTTCCAAAGGTACGTCTCCCTACTGAAAATGGGGAGGGGTAGTGGGGCTAAGATAATACTGACAAGGTGATAATTCATTCAGTGGTGAAGAACAAAAAAATCTTTCCGAATGTCCCAGATATCAGGTGGGACCACGTGGAACGAGCTCGTGCGAGCAGAGAGCGAAGAGGGGGTGTGTTTGGACGAGTTCTCATTCGTTGATATCATGGCAATATGGGCTGTCTTTCCCTTTCACTTGATCCTCCCATTCGAAAGGAGCCTGTAGCTGAACAAGCACATCACCAAGGAGCCGTTAGGAATACTGTTGGGCTCAGCTCAGTAAGGGCGGGGCATTGCAATCGTCGCGATCGGGTGGGTGTTTTCCACGTTTTTTTGAGACGCGAAAGCGATACATCCTCTGTAGAGAGAACTGCCTTGTCCACTTATACCACACCACTGAATGCGGACGTGCCTCTAACAGCATTAGAAGCGAGGAGGTAACCAGTGCGAACAGCATGGAAGTGGGACTCCTCCCATACGACCATCGTGGACTGACTTTTTGAATATAACAAAAATGGCAAAAGCGGTAAGGCAGCGTTCAGACTTCGCGACAGGAGCGTTTCGGTCACGTGACGATTGCAACCGATCGCCATGTCTTAACGCTGCCTAATTTAGTGGAGTGATGGGACACAATGTTTAGCATGTTCATTTGTCAGTTTAAGTTTATGGCATGTGTAAACATGATCCTTGCAACGATACGGCGTGTGAAGGGGCGTGAATTCACCCAGGACAGCCTTTCAGCCAGTGGTGATGGACACACGAATGCATCATTGGTGGAAAAGGTCGCCTTGGAAGGCTCTCGTCCACGCCCCGTCACACGTCATATCGTGCGTAGGGATCAATACTGTACGTATCTTTTTCCTGAAACGTTTCTCAGCTACAATTATCGTCTCGAAAAGTAAAGTAATTTAGTAAGTAACTTTTTTTGAAATTTTTATTTTTATTATTTAAATGTTATTATTTATTTTCATTATTATTATTATTATTATTATTATTATTATTATTATTATTATTATTATTATTATTATTATTATTATTATTATTATTATTATTATTATTTATTATTATTATTATTATTATTATTATTATTATTATTATTATTATTATTATTATTATTATTATTATTATTATTATTATTATTATTATTATTATTATTATTACCATTAATCGATATAAATAATGTAATAATAATAAGTATCATGTCACTATTATTATTATTGTTATTATTTTTATATTATTATATATTACGAGCTAAACCGATGGTATGCCTTTCCTTCCACCGGCAGCGGATAAACAGAGTTTTTCTAGAGGAACGATTTTCTAGAAAATCGCGTGAGATCTGAACTTTGATATAACGGCTATCCAGAATTTCATTCTTTCCAGGACAATTGATCTGATCTTAAGAGCGTTTCAGAGATGGTCTATGGATTTCTGTCCTGAAAACTCTTCACTGGTAAAACGGATGATCATTATGGGTTTGCAGCGAATTCAATACTAATGGAGTAAGCCATGCATGTAATTTCTATTCAAAGTCATAGAGATCGAGAGTTATGGATGTACATGTGTTGCTGTTATATAACCGGGAGACGGGAAAGAGAATCGTAAATTGCCGCTTCATCGCGCGCGGCATTGGGCACAATGTTTCCTCAATTTTGCACTACCCTTTTGATTTTAGCATTGGATTTTATGTACACAAGGACATGGTAGACCTTATGTCTATTTTTGGTCATACATTGTCTTTTCTCGACCAATACCACCTAAAATCGTCGTCATTATCGAGCACGACGTCGCACGCGACGCCCACTGGCGCGGCGATTCACGATTCTCTTGCCACATACCCTATATAACCTTTATGAGGACTTCTAGTGATCATGGGTCAGAACCAAGGGTTAGCTTTGTACTGCTGTTAGAACTCTATTGAAAACCGTAGTTTGGCTCATTGCTTCAGTAAATTCAAGACAGTATGGACAACTTGAGAAGATGAAGTCACCACTCATGAAAGAAGTGTAATACTCTTTCTCGCATTGCAAAGGATTTTCTGGTCTTTGCCTCTTACGACCCCCTAATGTCCCTCTTGGGACGCCCCAACCGTAATCGTAGTGGCATACTGAAAACGACTGGCCAACAGAATGACTTGTGGGATCACCGGAGGTACAGTCAATAATGTCGCAATCAGTCGGGGCGATGTCAAAAGAAGAGGGGAGGGGGAGCCCGGCTACGGCTGCCTTACTGTACCAATGGTGATTGGTCAAAGATCGATTTTGAAGAAAACAAATAGTGCGGAAAGCGCCGCGGATGGCCTCATACCATCCCTGGGGAGACCCCCGATTGCGACGTAATCAACTGTAAACGCCAATGTATTCATCCGTTTAGTCGATTTTCGAGCCATCTTTTGACTCGGGAGGAATAGAAAGCCTGGTTGACCCGGCGGGTAGATGCGAGGAATATGTACCCTCGACCATGGACGCTCTTATCAATGCAGTAAGTGTAGTTTTCTCCCAGAGTCAAGCCTCACGTCGTGGGAATTCGCCAGGTCGGTGGATCCCTCCCCAGGGTGAAGTGCCCATACCCCCCCCCTCTCCTCCCCTCCATATCACTGAAATCGTGTACGTTTCTGAAAGTCCATCACTTTTTGAGAGCACAACAGTATCATGCAGAAGAGTAACCCTCAAAGCAAAGGAAATCAACCAATCAATAGATCGATTAACTCCCATTTCGCACATCGAATACTTCTCCATAGCTCTTCAGCACCATTCATTCAGTTAGTAATTTCGGAATAAAGTCTTATCTTCAAATATTTATTTCAACAAGCAACAAATAACAACAACATAACAATTTTCAAGCTGCAAGGATCAAGAGTCTACATAGAAAATCTGTAGATTGCCCAGAACTACAATACTGACATTTCCAGTCGGTAACAGCTGAACAAACGAGCTAACTACTTTATATGATTTTCGTCTAGCTCTTTCTAACATCCTTTTTATTTTTACTTTTCAACACATTCTTTACTTTCTCCTTGGGAACCCCTCCAGGTGACAAACTTTCTTTACTAGTTTCCTTCAAAACCGAATCTTTAGAATCTCCCTCAACATTCTTGGATTTCTTTTTCTTTTTCTGGGAAACACCAGAAACCACTTTTTCCAAATCTGGTTTCCCAGCAGCCTTCATAACCTTGGCTTTCTTCTCAGCCGGTTCGTCGGACTGTTTGGAGCCATTTTCGGCCTGGGAACTTTTCTTCTTCTTCTTTTTCACAAACGCTATATGTTTCCTTTTTGGTGCATGGCGCACAAGTTGTTTCTTCTCATTCCTGGAATTTCAAAAACTAAATATAGAAAGAAAGAGAAGCTGTTGAGAGTAAATACGAACTGCTCACCTGGATAGAGGCTTCAAACTCAGTGTATATTCTGGAACTTCAAATCCCGCTTGATGAATAACGGTGGCGATTGATCTCAAATACTTGGTATCCGACTCAGTGAAGTACGTGATAGCGCGTCCGCGACGACCAGCACGTCCTGTTCGACCTGTGAATTAAAGAATGCTTAAAAAGTAAAAAAGAACCTAGCTAAGGGCCACACATAACAGTAAGTACAGGCGCACTTCGGCTTGGGGGAAGGCGGGGAGGGGACCCGGCGATACCTAGCAAAGTTAAACAGAACACCATGTGAAGACCTAAAAACCCCTGTTGCGGAAGTGGCTTACTTAGTACCATTTCGTAGCTTTACAAGTGTTTACAGATCTTACCAAAGTGAGATCTGTTAGTTCAAGTGAACTAGCCAAAGGCATTATGCGAAATGCCCCTCCCAAGCCGAAAACCGCCAAAGCGTATCTCATTCATTTAGACCTACCTATTCGATGTATGTAACTAACGATGGAGGTTGGTAGGTCAAAGTTTATCACAAGATTAACATTGCGAAGATCTAGACCACGGCCCATTAATTCTGTACAGATTAGCACCCACAATCGTCCAGACCGGAATGATTCGATGACATGATCTCTCTGAAAAATCAGTGCAAGTTTCGTTGTCAATGTAAAAAAAAATAATGCAAAATCCCAAAGTCCCAGAGTAGGTGTAATGAAAACTAAAACTGGAGCGCCTTCGCTGAAACAGTTGATCCTTCAGATTCGTTTCAGGAGGGACGTAATAGTAGCACATACTGATTGCACATTATTAGGATACGTAGGCGTTTTTAAAAGAACTTTTTACAGACGATTGGTGAAAAAAGATATTCAGTGATAGTGTCCAGCTTCTCTCTTCATGAAACCTCGGCATTATTGCGAACTTTCAAGTTGTAATTATTCTGCCAAAGAGGTTGGTAGGTGGAAGACTTTATTGAATTTGGCCTGACGTTTCGACGGGATCGTCGTCCTCAGAGGCCAGTCCAGACCACAATGAGCTAACGTACCACTCAACGTGTTTTAAAATTCACTAACTACAACTAACAGTGAGTGGTACCGTTCCGCTCATGTGGTGGTGGACTGGCCTCTGAGGACGACGATCCCCGTCGAAACCTCAAGTTTAATAAAGTCTTCCACCTACCAACCTCTTAGGCAGAAAATATTACAACTTAGATATTCAATGACATTTTTGAAGCGTGGGAGGGAGGCCAAAGTGAGAGTTTAGGCAGAAAAAAAAACTACACACTCCCTCTGTGCCTATCAGTAAGAGAAGTAGGGAGAACCCTATAAAATTATCGAAATGAAACTGGGGCGCCGCTTCTTCGGTACCGGACCGGAGTCCACAGCACCCACTGTTCGATCCCAAGGAACCAGAATTAGTTGTGGCCCCATGAACAAACAGCCACATAAGCAGGGAAAAAGGATCTCTATATCTTGCGGGTGGAGCTATATTCAAGGATGCACAGCCAGAACTGTTTTGATGTTTTTCTTACTGGCTTCGAGGTTTTTTAGGGAATTCGTTCATTCTCGCGAATCGTACTCACGTTCGACCCTTTCGTAGTTGTCAAGACCAAAACATGGCTCAAGGCTTCAGAGTTCCACACTACTCCCTCGAAGACATTCCCCTCTAGCATTTCTGACATCATCTCAGGATCGCTAAGATACCCAGGAGTTAAAAGATAAGCTCACCTCGTACATGGGTATCTTAGCGATCCTGAGATGACGTCAGAAATGCTAGAGGGAATGTCGCTTGATGTGGGTATTACAACTCTGAGCTTTGACCATGTTCAGCGCCTGACAACGACGAAAAGGTGTCGAAACGTTGGCCGAGAATAAAGAGCTCAAAAGGAACAGCCACCTAAAAACCTCGAGACAGAAGAAAAACATCAAAACAGTTCCGAGCAATGCCGAGGTTTCAAGATGAGATGAGTTGGACATCCACAGCCAGAACTGTCCGTGACGTTGTTACCACGCTTATTCGACTGGTGAAGTGATACATTATGAGCAACTGTGGAGTCTCATCGTATACGCCGACGGGATTACTACCACCAGGTAATAGCGGATAAAGAATAAAGCAGAAGTCGTTGATCCATTTTTGAATTGAATCCATTTTTGGGATGCGGCACACATTTTACATCCATTCAGAATCTAGTGCTTGTGCGCTAGACAGGCGTCGATTCGAGATTTGAACCCTCGATCACACCCATATGAAAGCAGCACATTGCGTCTGTCCCAACAGGCAAAAGCCGGAAATGTTTTTGAAAATCGGGCCGCTTCAGTAAGACTAGAAGCGAAAAATAGTAAGTGATCTCGCAAGAACACACCTCAGCCTGAGATTCTCCAGTGCTGATCTGAGCGAGGATTGGGGCGTAATTGAGGCACGCCGATAGTAGTTCACGTGCTCGTTCTTTATACTTCTGAACCCTATAATAAAACACAAGATTGATAGTAATCGCAAATGAAGATGCGTTCACTTTGCGCCCCCTGCCAACAAAAATCATGCTGGTGGATCAAAATTGGTTGGAGGAGGGTTCGAATAGCGAGAAGCTTTCCATGTTCTGAACCAGCAAACACCAGTTCCTGCGTCACGTTGGCATTTGCTGAGTTTCTAAACAATATAGCAACTAAAACTTACGGCTTTACTTGAGGACATACTTTTAGAACATACCTTTCACCAATACACACCATTGCAACGTTGTTCAAATTCTCTTTGCACCTGAATCAGTACTGTTGTAGAAACACACACACTGTCAACCATAAACATTCGAACTCACCACTCCTCCACTTCGTAGGAAAACGTGGCACTAAAAAAGGCTCTCCGAGTGAATTTCCCATCGCAGGCCTTGTAGACGCTGGCGAGCTTAAAATGGAAAATTCAAAAGCAGTAATCAATACCACAAGAATGCTGAATTTGCCAAGGTTAACCACATAATGTTCAAGGTAAATAGAAATAGGGAGCGAGCACAAAAGTCAGCCCACTTAAAGGTTTCTATATGACTCAACATTATCTCAAATCTTTACACAGTTGATTTTTTTACAGTTGCTTTTTGATTTGCAGTTAGCATAACAAAACAGTGATATTTCTTTTGATATTATATTTTCTCATTACTTTTACAAGCCTGATTTCTCAAAGACGGTCGGTAGAACTATGGAGAAAGTGATCTCAAGTGCAATTAATGAAGGATGGAGACAGGGCAGAAATAGGGGAATTACCCTACCGAACCTGTACCTGGGGGAAGCGTTCTTTCGAAGGCCTCAGACTCATTCAACGAACGCCGTCTGTCATTCCGCGATTACCCCCCCCCCCTAGGCAGTATGGATCGAATTTCCGAAGATAATACGGTCCTGAACAAGCTCCAATTCATATACAGCTCTGAGCGAGCATGTGGTGAAGCGAAGGTAGAGTACAGATTCAACGAGAGGGCTAGCGAGCAACTGAGCGCGGAAGCCAATCAGCCTCAGCGCCGGGAAATTCGCTTGCAATGGCACGCTGTAATGGGATTTTTTGTGGGTTTTAGTATCTTGTATGGAAGAGGCTTTTGCAGTCTAAGTGGAGGGTTTCTTACGCCCTGTGCAACTGCGGATCTGCGCACTTCAGTCACGATAGGCACCTCCATTTCTTACGAGCAAGTTCAGCCTCACAAGGGAAGGATGGTAGGTCGAAGTGGCCATTTGAAATGAAATGTATACCGGCTGGAAGGTCTTCGGACGGGAATTACGAAACCGTCTTCCATATCTGC